AGCCAGCTCCCACGGGGGGCAGGACCGCCACGGCCCAGTGGCCTCCACCGCTGGCCCGAGTGCACCGTGTGCTCAGCACAGATCGACCGCACAGCACAGCCCCCGTCCACCTGGTCAGGGCAGCCCACGGGCAGGCCATGGGTGGGCCACGGGGAGTTCAGGCTCTGTCTTGGATGCCCTGGTCTGGAGCCATGACTCTGAGCTTTGACTTAGGCAAGGGGTGGACGCTGTCCTCAGTCACCCATCACAGTTCTCACCTGGTGGGGTCACTTGGCCTTCTAGCCTCAAAAGACACACACACTCCGACAGACCTTGAAAGCCGTGTGCACCCTCCTCGGTGCCTGCCCTGCCTGCCATCTGCTCCCCACACCGGACAGCCCCCCGCTTGTGGCACGTGGCGTTGCCTGTCCTTGCACTGAGGGCAGCCTGCTTCTGGGCACGGCCAGCTGCACGGCCACCACGCCACACCTGCCTCCACAGTGACCTCCACTTGCTGGGTCTCACAGCTGCCCCGGCTGGACGGTCCTCTGCCTGGTTTACAGACGAGAGAGGGTTCGACGTGGCCCGTGTGCAGTCGCACGGGAGGCCGGGCAGGACCGGGGCTGGCTCGGTCGCCCAGGCTTCTGACCTCACGCGCCCGAGCTCCTCCGCCAGCCCTGGGCATGTCTGGGGGCCGAGCCCCGGGCGGCGCTTTGCCCATGGTTGTGTCCATAGAGCCACAGACGGTCCAGGCGGCTTGCGGAACCCACGGCCTCTCCCTGGGCAGACAATGTCCTCCTGTTCCCTTGCAACTCTCCCGCGGTCCGCCAGGCTGGGCCTCAGCCCACGGGGCCACACGGCATCTGCCCTCAGGCTGCCAGGGCGCCCCCGTCCTGGATGCAGACCACTGACCTGCCACGGCGCTTTGCCAGCCCCTGTCCACCGCCACATGCCTGTTGCAAGCCCAATTGCTTCCAGCTGCCTTCTTTCCCAGGCCTGCAGAGCCAGGCACCCCTGGGCACGTGGTCAGAGCTTGGGCCCCCGTCATTCACCCACTTTAGGATCTGGGGGGGTCCCGCCTCCCTGCCCTCTTCAGGGGGCCTGCAATACAGCCCTTATACTTGTCCTGGCTCCTCCAACCCCCACCAGGAGCCTGGGGTATGACCCCCCAAGCCTCCCGGAGGATCAACGGATTTGACCCTGGGAACGAACTGGACAGGATGGCGAGGCTCAAGGACTCGGGGAGAGGGCCAGGAGCTGGCAGGGGGTTGAGGAAACACCTTTCTGGCCTTGGTCCCATTTTCTGTGGCATGGGGACAAGTACTACCCTGCTGGCCTGGTCCCTAAGTCATGGGAGCCCAACAAGCCTGGACTGACCCCCAAGCAAGAACACGCCCCAGAGTGTCTGCTGCTTCCCTGGGGGGCCAGGGCTCCGGACAGAGGACGTCCCGGACACACTCGCGTTTAAGACGCTTTAATCTTAAATAAAACGCAGTGCAGCTTTCCCTCGGTGGCCCTAAGGCAGACGACAGCGTGGGGGCGGAGTTGGGTGTTGCTGAGCTCCTGGCTCCAGCTGGAGATGGGACAGGAGCTCCAGGCCATTCTGGCCTGCTCCAGGGGCCAGCGGGGCGGGGGGCGGGGCACAGGCAGGCAGCCACATGTACGGGTAGCAGCGGTCGCACACCCAGGGCCCTGACCCCATTTACCCTAGCCAGCCAGGGAGCTGAGGACACCAGGCAGGGCTGGGGTTCTCTTGCTCTGTGCTCTCAGGGGCTCAGGGCCAGGGCCAGTCTCTCTGCAGGCCCCCGCTTTCCCCGGTTGGAAGGTGAGGGGTTAGGCCTGAGCAGGCAACAGCAGGGAACCCTGAGAGCAGCTGCCAGGACAAGCCACTGGAGCAAGGCCAAGAAGACCCCTCCCCAGACCCCTGGCCCATCTAGGGAGGCACCCCCAGGAGTAGGAAGGGGAAAATTGGCAGGACAGGATGACGGGCAAGGACAGCCCAGCGGGGGGCAGAGTGGGGGTGCTGCTGGAGGACCAGGGAGGGTGGGCCCACCTGCGGCCACACAGCACAGCCCCAAGGGCACTGGTGGGTGCAGACAGGTGACGGCGAGTGCAGGCAGCACCCAGGCACAGTCCCGCCCCCTGCTGTCCCCTCCTTGGCAGCAGGTCCTGACTAGGTTGCCCCCAGCCACAGGAGGCTCACCACCTCCATAGCAGGCCCCGTGCCATCTGACCTGCACTGGCCCCGGTGGCCAGACCTCCCTCCGAAGAGCTCTCTGGTCAGTCAGCCTGGCGTGACTTGCTGACTCTGCCCTGGGCCTGCTCCTCCCCCACCTGCAGCCAGAGGCACCTGCCCCGAGATGCTGGTGGCTCCTCGCTGTGCCCTCAGGACTGCTCTGGCTTCACCCCTGCCACCCCCACGAGCTCCGCCTGCTGGCTCTGGCGCTCAGGGTGGCTCTCGCTGGTCCCTGCACTCCAAGCGCCCTCTGGACTTGGACCCGCAGAAGCCTGGGCCCCTCACTGTCGTCTCCACCCCGAGAAATAGGTTGGGGTAGCTAGGTCATCCCATCCCATGCTCAGCACAGGGAAGGTCACGGAGGGGCGTCAGTAATGGGGGAAGGGAAGGGAGGCCGAGCGGGTGAAGGGGGCTGTGTCGGTCACGAGGCCACCGCAGCTCCAGAGACCAGCCCTGATCTGGCGGGTGGGGACAGCAGGCAGCAGTTCCCAGGCCAAGGCTGGCGGGCGGGGCGTGGCGGTCACTGGTCCTTGGCTGCGTCACCGAGCCCACTCTCGGCCCGGAGCAGCTGGCTGCTGGCCTCGTTGTAGGCGACCCAGTGCTGCAGGTCTGCTGGCAGTTCAGGGGGCTCCACCTGCAGGGGAGAGGAGGGTGACCCCCATGCCGCGGGGACAGGCAGGGAGATGGGGAGGAGCTGCTGCACCTCTGGGCTTCTGCCGATGCCGCTCCTTCCTCCCTCCACCGAAGGCGACTCCCCAGTCCCTGGTGCCCTCCCCTCCCCCTCCCAGGTGCTCCCTTCACCCTCCTGGGCCCTCAGTGTTTACAAGCTCCGTCTTAGCTCCTTTATCGGGCCTGTTTCCCCCACAGAGCTGTGCCTGAGCCCTCCGTGTGTCCCCAAAACTCAGGTACAAACCTCCAAGGCCAGCCGGCTGGAGGGGGTGACAGAAGGGAGCCGCAGGGAGGGAGAGAAGCCGGAGGCCCCTGGAGTCAGGCTGAGGTGGGGACAGGGGAGGAGGGGCGGCGGCCGGGACCGCGCCAGACAGGGCCTGGCCAGGAGCCCCGCTTTCTGGACTTGCCCCCAGGTCAGCTCTGGGCCTGACCACAGTGTTCGCATCCCTGCCCGCTCAGCCACGCTGTCCGCCTGCGCACATGCTTGGCCACCATTTTGTGATGGGGTGCCAGGCCCAAGGGGTCAGAGGCCTTGCAGACGGGCTTTGGGAGTTCCTGGAGGTGAGGGGAGCCCCAGGTACGTGCCCACCCACCTCGGGGCATCAAGGGGGCCAGGCAGGGGCACTCAGAGCTGGAGTCCCGGGCTTCTCTGTAGACAGGGCCAGTCTGGGGCGGAGGTAGAGCCAGACCTTTTGGGGGTGTTGCTGGCTCAACAGAGACAGAAGACCAGGAGCTGTGCCTGTGGCCCGCGGTGCAGCCTCAACCCGCTTCCATCGCCTCTCTGAGCCTCCGTCTCCCCACCTGACATGGGGAAAGGCTGGCTTCTCACAAATGAGGGGAGGCTGTGGCCCTCCTCTGCTCAGGAAGTGCCCGTCTGTGGCCAGAGAGGGCAGGACGCTGCCTGAGACCCCCCGGGAGTGGAGACAGGCCCGGCTTGGGCATGGAAGCTCCAGGCAAGTTTTCAGGAACCCGCCTGCAGCAGGAGCCTGCCCTCGCTGTCCCCAGGGCCCGGTTGCCACGCTGCAGTAGCCGGCTGGGCCTCGCTGGGAGCAGCAGGCCCTCGGGAGGCAGCGCTGTGGCCACTTCTCTTCACCGGGAAAAAGCAAACCCAGGCGGCGGTGACCCAGCCCCTCCACGCTTAAGCGGTGTGAGGGGGGATCTCAGGCTGAGAACTCCCAGCCACCTCCTTTCACCGTCACCCCCCATCCGTGCACAATACGTTCAGAACCAAGGACCAGAGAGGGTGGCTTAACAGAGCCACACACAGGACTTGGACTCCTGGGAGAGGCCTTGTCTGGGCTTCCATGTTCTGGAAAACACCAGCGGGGCATGGAGCCCTGAGGGGCCAGGTTAAAAAGTGGCAGGAGGGGAGCGCGCAGAGCCCAGGTACGGCGACTTGATCTGGGACCCCAGGAGCTTCCAGGAACAGCATCAGTGAAGGGGGCCCTGGACCCAAAGGAAAGGGCTGGAGCGGTGGGCCTTCCCCAGGGGAGAGGACAAGGACCAGGAGTCCTCAGGGCCCCGCGGGCGGGGGGGGGAAGACTTGCACCCGGGGCGGGGGGCGCTCACCCTGCGCTTGCACAGGTGCTGCACGACGCGCTCCGGCGAGGCGCCCAGCACGTGCTGGCGCGTGCGCAGCAGCGCGCAGACGAAGCCGTCGCGCAGGCTGACGAAGCGCGCCTCCAGGTAGAAGGCGCGGTCGTCCCAACCCAGCAGGCGGGTGCGCACCTCGAAGGGCTCCAGCAGGCGCAGAGAGCGGCGATAGCGCGCGCACGAGGCGGCCAGCACGGAGCTTGCCCCGAGTGCGCGCAGCGCCCCGAGCACGCCGCAGCGAGCCAGGTGCGCGACGTGCGCCACGTCCGCCTCGCGCAGGTAGCGGGCGTTGTTCATGTGCAGCAGCAGGTCCAAGTCCGAGGGCAGCACGCGGTCCGCATAGCGCTGCTCCGCTAGCAGGTAGCGGACGCGCGGCTGCAGCAGGCGCGCGCGCAGCACGGCGCACGGCACACGCACCAGGTACCATCCGTCCAGCAGCGCGAAGTAGGCGAGCGCGATGGCCAGCAAAGCCACGAGCAGCATAGTTGCGGAGCCGGCGACGCTGGTGCCAGCCGGTGCGCGCTGCGCTGCTGCCGGCGCCGGGCCAGCCAGCCCCGGAACAGGCGAGCGCGGCGCGGCCGGAGCGAACCACCTCACGAAGCCAGCAGAGGGGTGAACGCGCCTCAAGTCGCAGGTGCTGTAGGCCAGAGCTCCGCCCTCCGCCCCAGGCTCCCCGTCTCCCTTCAGTGGTCCGTCCCTCCCCACCGCCCCGGTGGCTTTCCCCGGGCGGGCGGGGCCCAGGGCCGCGCGCGGAGCGCCACAGCGGCATCTGGTGGGCGCGCTCCTCATTGCAGGCGCAGGAGCGCCCGGAGCCGCCCGCAAGGTCTCCGCCCTGACCGGAAGCGGGAGCCCCTCGCGTCTCCCCTGGCCCTTGAAGACTTGGACCGGCCGCGGAGATTCGGTCCCCGATCTGAGCAGGGTCAAAGGCTCCAGCACAGGCCCGGCGCAGGCTGAGGGTCTTCGCAAGAGAAACAGACACACAGCCAGGCCCCAGGGGCGTTGCTCGGAAGCCCACCCTCTACTCCAGAACCTCCAGGGACTCCCCACTTCCACAGTGCGACAGCCCTAATACATATGTGGTGGCTTTAGGGCACATCACAGTCTGACCCCAAAACACCTTTTTGGTTCTAGCCTGTACTCCATCCCACCCACATCCGCCTCCACCCCCCAAATATCCCGATCGCCTCAAGCTCATTCCCAAGCTTTCCCATCCTCTGCCCCTTTAGAAACGGGAGCAAATAACGTCTGGGGTGGAGGAGGGGAGGCGGTGAATGTAAATGACTCAGCAATATATTCAGAGGTGTCTTGCACTTGGGACTCGGCCCGGTGGACTGTCTCACCGGCTCCGGTGTCCCGTCCCCCTTCTCTGCGAGGCTGGGGAGGGCGAGCCCAGAGAAGGCCAGGCCAGCTCTTCCAGCTGGCGCCCCGGGCACTCGAATGACAGCACTTGCCAGTGACCCAGGAGGCCGTAGGTCTGTACTGGAGTCTGGGAGAGGGGCAAGGGATAAGAGGCTTGCAGGAAGTTGCTGCGCTGTCTGGGTATCCCCAGAACGTATCCAGGGGTAGCTGGCCTTTAGTCCATTCCCCACGAGGCCTGAGCTCAGGCCGCAGGGGTCTGGCCCCCCTCAAAAGAGGGGCTTTCTGGGGCATCTCCGCTCCACGGTCCGGGCTGGGGCTGGGCAGCTGCTAGGCTGTGCTCAAAGGGACTTCTCAGGCATGGAAGGCGGTGTGCCGTGTCCTCCCAGAGACCCCCACTGCCATGTGCATGGGGTGCTGGTCCCAGTGCGCAGTCACTCCAGGAGAAGTCCCAGGGGGTGTGACGGGGCATCCTATCGGGGGAGGCGGCCCTTCAGTCAGGGGTGGGGGGAGGCCGGCTGGTTGCTGGGGACCCTTTTGACCCTTTCGTATAGTTTGAATTGTTTCCTGGAGGCGTGGAGAACTTACACTAACAAAATCGCCAACGGAGGGGCTGTCCTCGAGCTGCAGGGACACGCACGCTTTCCCACCGGAAGCTCCTCCACCCCACGAGTCTCTGGGCCAGCTCTCGTAGTGGAGAAGGCACACAGGTGAGCACCTGAGGCTCAGGGAGGTTTGCGAGGCCACACGGCAAGAGCTGGGAGTCCCTGGGGACACTGCCCTGCCCTCTGCACCCTTACAGGTGTCAGACATTTGTCCCTGCCCAGACTGGAATTCCACCCCATGTGGTCAAGGGCATGTCCACAGCCACTGAGGTGGGTCCAGGTGACAACCCAGTATAGCCCTGGACCCCAACCCTTACCTGGACCTGAGGGCACGCAAAGACAGAGGTTCTCTGCAACTAGCCAATGGGCCTTTATTAAGGGCCTACTGTGTGCTGGGGTTGCTGCGCATGATGGGAAGCCGGCCCTGCCTCTAGGCCACACCTCTTGGGGCTCCTGGGACCTCTTACTTGTGCCCCCAGTTCTGTTCTGTACATTTCATCTCAGCCTTTGCAGAGCCCCTCCTGAGTGCCTGCATCTTGCTGGGTGCAAGAGACACCACAGGCAGGGCCTGGCTCAGCTTGTAGAGGGGGCAGGCAGGGAAGGCTTCCTGGAGGAAGAGGTGCCTGGGTGAGGGTGCAGGGGTGGGTCGGAATATGGGGCAGCAGAAGCCCAGGGGCTGGACAGGTCATGTGCAGGCCGTTCCGCATCACTGGAGCCCAGCCCGCTGGGCAGTGGGGACAGGCAGGAGTGGAAAGGACAGAGGGCCTCGGCCGAGCTGGGTGTGTGTAAGGAGTGCCCAGCACAGGACACAGCGGGGTCCCCTTCGAGCCTACAGCTGGCTGGGACCCCAGAGCATCAGGCTGCAGGCAGCGGCGAGCAGCAGCAGGGGGCCGAGAGCCGGCTGCAGGGCACGGGCCCCGCTGGCGTTGCACAGGTCACTGGAGCAGCACGTGGTGTTGCTCACGACCATGTAGTAGTTCTGCGAGTTGTCCTCACAGTTCGCGCTACAGCCCTTGCTGAGGAAGAGGAGGCCAGCCACACCTGGGGGCATGGAGACAGGTGGGCTAGGGCTGGTCCTGGACACTCACCTGCCTGGCCTTGCCCCAGCTCCCATCCCCTCCCTCCGCTCCTGGCCCCGCTCCTACTAAATCTGGGTCACCCTGGGTCAGTCTCAAGACCACGAGCAGTGTGAGGGCCCATCCGCGTCCACGTGCCTAAGGCAGCCAGACCTGCTGGGCTCGAGAAATGTGTCAGGAACGAGTGAATGCGGGAATGGATGGGTGGGTGATGGATGAATGGACGGCGGATGGGTGCATGAACGCGGAAATGAGTGAGTAACGGACTGATGAGCTATGGGCGGCTGGACGGATGGGTGAGTAACGGATGGGGAGATAAACGGATAAAAGCATGGACGATGAATGGGTGGACGGTGGATGGGGGAATGGCTGGATGAAGAGCGATGGATGCGGGGGACGGCCGGACGGGAAGCTGAGCACCGACACTTGTGTGTGGATAGAGGAAACACTGGGCAGAGGGACAGCTGGGCAGAGGGACAGGCGGGCAGAGGGACAGGCGGGCAGAGGGACAGGCGGGCAGAGGGACAGGCGCGCAGAGGGCGCGCAGTTCAGTCCCATGGTGGAGGTTCTCCCAGTCCTTGCGGACAGTGGCAGGGTGCGGGAGTATAGGGGCGTGGCAGGGGGGCAGGTGGGGCCACGCCCAGCCTGGGGGCCTCTGGGCGGGGCTGCGGGCAGGGCTGGGGTAGCAGGGCCACTCACTGATGCGCTGGGTCCAGCAGTGGGTCTGGGAGTCGCTGCAGTTCTGCACATGCTGACAGTCCTTGTTGCTGGTCTCGGTCATGCAGAAGTAGCACTGCAGGGCGGTGCCTGCGGGTGGGGAGGGGCTCAGAGGCTGGCCCGGCCCACCCTCCTAGGGGCTGGTGGGAGGAGCCTCCTTTTCTCATCTGCCCCGGTGGAGGGGACCACCGGGAGCGCCCTCTGGCTCCTTCCAGGCTGCTGGAAATCGAAGGAGCACAAGAGCCCAGCCCACCCCTCACTCAGACGCTGACACAGGTCTGCCCCGTGTGACTGACCTCTCTGCCCACTTCCTGTCACAGCAGGCGGAATCCAACTTTGGTGCCCAGCCCAGCCCAGCCCTTAGGACTTTAGAGCTCTGATAAAATGCTCGTGCTTCTGAGAGGACAGGGGCCGGCAAGCCCCATGTGGGTACTGGCTGACCCCACCTGACAGCCGGGCCACTGGACTCTGAGCAGGTGAGGGCGAGGTGATCAGGACCCTTCCCAGAACTGGACATGGCACCCGGCATTGAGGCCCCCATCTTTGTCCCCAGCAGCCCGCGCAAGGCCAGCCTGGCCTCCCAGGCCCTCTCAGGCCTCCCCAGTGCAGTGAGACCCGGTACTGTGGGCCCCACCGGGTCCTGCTCTGTCCCTTGAAGTAGCAGCTCCAGCTATCATGATGATTAAGGCCTGTCTGGTTAAAACGATGACGAAGCTGGGATCCAAGGCACCTCAGCCCCCAGCCCTGTGCTCAGTCAGCACACATACCGGCCGAACTCCAGAGGCCTTAGAGGCCATTGTCATGATCCCCACTTTCCAGAAGAGAAGCTGAGGCTCTGAGCAGTTTAGTGACCACCCAGGGACCCTGGGCCAGGAGAGACTGAGCCAGGCCTGGAGACCAGACCAGAGCAGCACAGGCCTACGTACGCCCGCCCCGCAGGACCCGGCTGCTCGCAGCGGAAGCCAGGGCTGGGCCTGGGGAGCGGGACCCGGGGCCTCTCCCGACAGCCCCCGCCCTCCCTGTTTCATTTCATGAGTGAGTGATGAATCGAGGAGTGATGGATGGGGTGGTGCTTCTTAGCTTGAGGCGCTGTGCCCCTGTGCCTCCCGCCCGCCCTGCAGGCTGTCTGTGCTTCTGCCTGTCCGTCTGCCCGTCCAGGAGCCAGGCCCGGCCACGAGGCAGTGAAAGGTTGAAGGCCGGGCTGTCTGGCCTCTGCCTTGGGAGACAGCTGCGGGCCAACCACTGGGCGAGCCGTCTCCACGTCCAGATGGTAGTAAGTGCTGCCCCAGAGGGGACATAGTCCGCATGAGAGCCCCTCCTTCCGGCCACTGCCTCCCTCCCTTCCGCCTGGCCTCCCTCTGCCCCGTCCTCCTCCTCCCGCGCCTCTCTCTGGGCGCCCCCTGGCCTCCCTCCGTCGCCCCCGCCTCCAGTCCTGCTCTTGGCCCTGCCCCGTGGCCGGCCCAGGTCTCACCTTGTTGCAGGGCCAAAGCGGCCAGCAGGGCAAGGAGGAAAACTTTCATGGTCACAGGCAGGCAGCAATGGCGGGCACCTCGGGGCGGCTTTATATCACTTTGGCTGGCAAGGAGGGGCTCCGCTGCCCACTGTCAACACGGTCAGGTTCTCCGGGGCCAGCGAGGCACGCCCTGCCAGGCGGTACCCTCCCATCCTCTTTGTCCTTCTTTCTGCTTCCGGAAGGCAGGGCCTGCCCAGGGCGAGGCCGCTCTCCCCACTCTGGGCCGTTCCTCGGCCGCCCCGAGGGTGAGGCCCCAGTACCCACCTGCACCCATCTCAGAGCCGGCAGCGTGCCCAGGGGACAGAGGCCACTTCCTGGGACCTACTCACTCCTTCTGTCTTTCTGTTAAGGTCGTGTTCGTTCCCCTTGGGCCCTGCTGTGCCTCGTGCAGGAGCAGCACTGCCCTCCTGGGGCTCACGGTCCCAAGGGGGTGGTGACAGGCCTTAATCGACTGCCACAGATGTGTTAGCACAAACGGAGGTGTGGGCTGTGGAGAGGGTGCCGCGGGCAGGGGCCAGCCTGGGGACGCGCCCTGGAGGCTGACGGGGCGCTGGCTCAGCCAGAGCGCACAGGCATGGAGCGCAGGTGTGAGTGTGCACAGGCATGGAGCGCAGGTGTGAGTGTGCACAGGCAGGGCTGTGGGCTTGACCCTCATGACTTTATAATCCCCATGCAACCGTTAGCTGCAAGGGAGCTGGGGAAGCACAGCGCCGGTGGGCTCTGCAGTAGGAGGCGGAAGGCGGTTGGCATCAGGCTGGACCGTCTTCGCCTGGACCCTAGACCCACTCTCCACCCTGCTTTATGTCCTGGGGTCCCATCAGGCCAGTGAGGGGAGGACAGGAGGTTCAGAGTTCAGGCTGTTCCTGACCGCCGGGCATAGTGGCACTGGCTGAGTGACACTGGCTCCGGCCAGCTTCCCCTCTCCCCTCAAAGCCCAGGGGCCAGTGGCTTCCTGCTGCTTTTGGCCTGGGGGCCTGAGCATTCCCTGCTGTCCCTCTCAACCTGACCCCCCCTTTGCAAATAGTCCCCTTGTGACTCCTTGGAGTGTCCGGCCTTGTGCTGGCAGGTACAGACCCCACCCCTTCCTGTGGGGAGAGTGCCTTTCAGTGGACAGCATCTCTGACCTCCAGCTCACTCCTGCTCCTTGATTTGCCCCTGGAAAAGAGCCCTAAGGCACGCCGGGGACAATGAGGGTGTCTCCCAGCTCGCCTGGGCAGCACGGGGAGGCCAGGGGGCGCGTGCACCCCTCTCAGGGGCGAGGACAGGTCCCGCCTTCACACCCGGAGCCCTGGGACGGGGTAACATGGTGGTGTGAGCTGGGTGACCTGCAACCCGGACCCATGGGATTCACAGCACCTCAAGGCCTCCCCTGCCCAGCTGCCTGCCCCTCATCGGGTTGGGCCTTTTCCAGTGGGGACTGGCCCCTTTCGGCAGGTAAAGAGTCTGGGGCTCAGAGAGGGCCGGGAACTTGCTCAAGGTCACACGGAGGTGAGGCTGGCCCCTCCCCCAGGGTGCCTTTCTTGCCCACTGTGCCCACTGGAACTTTCTCTCGGAATTCCCTGCTCCCGGCCACAGGCCCATGAGCTCAGGCACCTCACGTGCCGAGTAAAATGTGACTTCACCACTTCCCTCTGTGGCTGCTCCCCGCCCCGCCGCTCACGGGGCTGCGGGGCCCTGGGCTGGAGCCTTTCTTATCTGTCCAGCTCCTCGCACCACCTAGAACAGCCCTTCCTCAAATATTGACAGGCGTGCGAGGGCTCCCTGGTCTGACGTGGTATGAAGCGATTGTGCTTATGCTGAGGCAGTGGTTCTCAGACGGGGCCATCCGACAATGCCTGGAAACATCTCCGGGTGTCCCCCCTGGGGGTGCGACCAACTTCCAGGAGGACCCCCACCCCCGTGACAGCATCGTCGGCCCCAGAGTCAGGCATCCCACCCTCGAGCTGTCCCAGTGGGTCGGAGGGAGGGCGGAGTGGGAAACCAAACAGGACTCCTGTGGAGCCTGAGGGGCTAGTGAACCCTGCCTGCTGGGCTCGAGA